TAAAGAAACATTTAAAAAAAAATGTAACATCTGACAGTGAATAATTCTGTACATAACTGAGCCACAATATTGATATCATGCAGACTTTGCTTCCCACATTCTTTATAAATAACCTTTTAACAGTAAACTAAATATGTTTAAGACAAGCCATTACTTTTTATTTTGACATATCAGGTATTCTATTTTATTTACTTTCCTACATATTTTTAGCATAAATTATTTTTTTTCATTAACAACATAACATATCTTTTACTCTGTGTTGTGTGAAAATATCTGCACAATTGATTTAAAAATGAAAAAGATTAAACATTTTCATTCAAATGTTAGAATTAACCCTAAATTCAGGCTGGGGGGGGGGGTCATTTCAGGCCCACTCAAGTCTTTCGCCCAAACACACTGATTTTTTACACTGTCACTTTGAAATTTTTGACTTTAAGGAATAGTAATTGAGAGGAATTTGTTCAGTAGTTTTCACTTGAAATATGGACATAAAAAAATGTGTCACATCTTAATATTAGTCAAGAATCAGTATTTTACTTATTACATTTTTCTTACCCTTTTCTGGGGCATTTTTTAAGCCTCTCTAGCACCATAACTATTAAAGTTAGTAGTCCAATTTTGTTATGCATTTAAACCCTATACATTGCGCCCCCCCCTATCCTACCCCCCCCCCATCCTTTACAGGGTTTAAGAAAGTTAAAACTTTGCCATTGTATGTTTCTTAAATTCTCGTGGCAGACAAAACCACTAAAAAGGAAGACTTTTATAAAATTGAAAATTGCCAGTTTTTAACTTATAAAAAAATACCAGTAATGAAAATTCTCATAATTTGATGCTACAAATATTTAGTACTTTGTCAGATTGTATTATCTGTGATATTGTTTGTAAAATCAGAAACATAATGTTCTCTAGAGTTTGCAGTAAAAAGTTGTTGCAAGGTTTTGACAGCCCTGGTAGATTGACTTCTTTGTCCTTTTGACACTATAACAGACTGTAGTATATACATCCTTTTGTAAAGCAATAATGGAACTTATCCTTTATAGAGTTTAAAATTCTTTCAAATTTTGGAACTTAAAATAATTAAATCTAAGCGAAATTAAGGAATGAACATTTGCTGTTTTAGGCCCTGAGGTGGTGCTAAAGATTAAAAGATTAAAGATCCAAAAGCATTCAAAGAGAGGCTATCCAAACTAACATTCAAGTTGTATTTAGAAAAATAATATTTACCAGCACGTGAAAAAATTTACCAGGAACTAAGTAGATCCACTTCATTTAGAATCTCAAACCCAAACTAAAACCATTCCCGTGGGTCTCCCAAGTTCCCAATGAAAACTTGAGGCAAATAGGTTAAGAGGTACCTGAATTATGATTGGACAAACAAACAGACAACCAGACAACTGACAAACATTGACTACAACTTTTTATTTATAGATAAAAGGAATAAATCTTTTTGGTCACAGTAACTAAGTGTTTTTTTTTTAAATATCAAAAAGTTTAGTTTTTTTTGCCTCAATTAGAAGTTCAAGAGTTACATTTTAGTTATAAATTGACAGTGTATTCAAAATGTTGTGCATTGCAGTATATGTGCAGTAAAGCTATAGGGATTGTAAACTTGATAATTAAAGTCAAATCAGAATTCAAACCAAAACTGTTGAAAGTTTTCTATGACAAAGGTTAGATTTAAAAAAAAGGTTTTAAAATACTTTAAAATCATCATCAGTTTTTGTAAATTGGAAAAAATCATGCTACAGTTGCCATAATTAGAATCAGAGTTTCAGTTTATTTAGAAAACCCCGCCATGTTGATACACCTTCCAGTTTCTATATCTTATTTATTTAGACTTTGACTTCAATGTCTTCTATACCGTTTAAAGGTTAAACCATTAATAGTTGTAACATATATTTTGCATATTTTTAGAAGAAGGGGATAGACTGAACCTCAAATCCATATTGGCTCAAAAATGACAATTTCACTCCTTTTAAAAATTTGTTCTTACCACCGGGAATAGCTGTCTGCAATACCAGTCAAAATAAGACCATATTAATGTGTCTGAAAAATGTATTTTTTCTTGGCAAGAACCTTTTAATATTTTTGGTTAGTGCACAAAAAAAGAGGCTGAAATAGATTTAATAATGTTAACTTTTTTTTGATGAAAAAAGTAATTATCTTGACGTATAGTCAAAATCTAAAGATCAATAAGAGTTAGTGTGTTTTACAATTACTACTATTATGATGGATTTATTTATGAATTTTAAATATTATAAAATTTAAACTATATATAAATGTGGCGATAGATAACCAATGACTATAGGTTGTAATATCTGAATGATTTGTTTGAAATTAAATTGATTTTTTTACGGTCTAAGTCGTATGTTGCAATTTTCTCTATATGTATGGACGCTAAGTTATTCGGTATGAGACGTTTTTAACAATTTTTTCCTTATAGCAATCAAAAGCGCTTTTTTATCGCATTAAGCCTATACCCCCTTTCATTTTTCGCGAACACTCCCTTTAATTCAAGAATAGTTCATTTGAATGTTAACCCCCCCCCCCCTTTTAAAGTTAAAAGTTTCGGAAATTTTAAACAATAGACTATGAGGAGGAATTTGTTCAACTTCCAAAAAAACACTTTTTGTTTAATTCAAAGGAATATTTGAAAAGGCTGAATTCTCCATATTGTTTAGTAGATAGAAAACGTGAGCTAAATTCAGCCGAAAAAATTTGAATTTATATTAATTTATGAACATTTTAAGTCTATTGACTATGTAAAATTGGGTTACCAGGCTTTTTCTGTTCTGTTGAGTTGTTAATTTATAAAAGTTTGCTCATTTTCAGAAGGTATTGTTTCAAAATATGAGTTCTTTTTATGAATTTTTAACTAAATTTGAGAATATTCCTTATAACAAGATTTTGTTCTTCCTTTACACTTTATTTTACAGATTTTGTGAGCATTAGTCAGAGAAATCTTCAAGATACTTGAACTAATATGCCATCTTGTTGAATCCTTATTTGCAGAACCTATTCTTATCCAACCCTTTTCATGTTCAGGATTTGTCTAAAATATGCAAATGATCATTGGATTGGAAATCTACCAGCCTAGGGTTTAGCACAGCCAAGAAGATTGGAAAAATTGGAATTACATAATGTTTCCAGGGATCGAAACTTTTAGAGGAATAAAAAGAATTAATCTCATTATCTTCATGTTTAACCCAAGTTCTAAATTTCAGTAAATATTTAGATAATTTGATCACAATTGATTATTGGATAAAATTACGAACAGATAGAAACTAGGCAAAGGAATTGAGTTTTTGCCACAGACTAAACTGTTCTTATCTCTTTATCTTTGCAGCCTGATGGTGTAAACCTTTGATACTTCAAAGTGAAAATACTTGATCTAACAGAATTCATAGTTTGAAATATTAAATTTCTACAGAATCAGGTTGCAGAGATATAGGGATTAAAAAGTCAGTGTTTGTGGCTCAATTCCTTTAAAAGGTAGATTATTGTGAACCTTTAAAAAGTTGGTGTTTAAACTAGACACTAGACAAAGTAAACAAATCTATTCTGGGAGATACTCATTGTTGAAAACATATTTTGCAAAGCTTTTCATCAGCTTGTGTTTTTATTATTTAAAATATAAACCTTAAACAGGATTAACCCATAACTGATATTTTGTAGTAAACATTGGTTTTTGTAATCCTTGGTGAAGTAAACAAGTTTTAATCGATATTGATTATACACTGAATGTGTCACTTTCCATCTAATCTTTTAAAATGTGTTTCAACAGCTAGGCGCTTTAAAACCCCTTAAAATAATTTCAAAAGTAAAATTTTTTCTGCTATAAAAATGTTGATTTTGACTGAAATGTTAAAACCATTTGTTAACACAGACTAGGTTTTCTTCATGCAGGCCTTTATTTTATTTTGAGTCAACATTTTGCATTCCTTATATTAGAAACAAAGTGAAAGAGTTTGAAATTTTAAAATTTATAGATTTATGTGGGTTCACAATAAAGTCAAAAATCATAGTATGTTAAAAAACAGATAAAAATTTAACCAACTAATGAACACAATTCTCATTAATTCTGATATAGGTTTTTTTTTAAATTTTTAAACTATTTTGAGGTTTGGATAACATTCTACACTTTTTATTTTTGAAATTAAAAACCGCCCATTAAGCAGCAAAAGCTGCCAAATAGACAAAAAAAACTGCTTATTTTTAGGGGAAAAAAATGTTTATTGGCCAGTAAAAGTTGGTTGCGCAATAAGCAATTTTCTCTTGCAAAATTTAGAATGTATATAATATATATATATACCATAGTAGAATATATTGAGTATAATATATATATACCATAGTAGGATATATTGAGTATAATTCTTGGATCCATGATAAACATGAATGAATGTAAAGAAAGATATATAAATATATATATATATATATAATTCAAGCTATTGTATTTTTGTTCAGCTCTTTGTTTGTATATTGGCAACCACTAAACTCCCTGTCAGTTAGGTTCAAAATATATATATTGATTAAACAAGTATTCTAAAGTAGTTTCGATTTATCAAGAATTTTATAAATATAAATACTAGCTTGGGAACCCAGCGATGCCCAGGTTACTAAAAGGTATTCCAGCCATTTACCCGCACTTGAACGATTTTACCGGGAGACTACATTTTCGCTATTTAAGTCGACCCACTCGACTTAGAATCTCAAGACCAAGATAAGAACATTCCCGTGGTTCTCCCGAGTTCCTGAGTTGAGACAAATAGGTCAAGAGGTTTCTGAGTTATGGTCGGACAAACAAACAGACAGACAGACAAACGGAGACTACAACTTTATATATACAGATTTTAAAAAGCATGCTTTGTTTTGTTTTTTAAATGTCAAAAATTGTGTGTTTTAATTTACTTTAATTAGTTAATTAAGTTGATATAAAACTCTAGTTATATTGATCTTTAAAGTTAATTACTATCAGACTTGGGAGAAAAAAGTTCTTAACAATTAAGTGGCCACTAAATTGTCAACAAGAAATTTTTAGCGCAGGGGCCATGCTAATCTTCTCTGTATCGTTCCAATTTTAGTATATGTACTGCCGAAGCAAGTACAAAAATGTCAGTATGTATCTCGAATATATCGTATTACACAATTACGTCGGCTATTTAGCATCAAGACGATATATTTTAACTAGTGTAATGTCATACTAACAACGAACTTTCAATGTTCTCTGTCAGTACAATCGTAGTTTTTTCCATATTGCATTCATTGACATTATACCATTGTTACAAAAAACTTTATAATGCTTACTCAACAGATTTTCCTCATTAAACGGCCCGGTTATATGCAGATGAATCTCAAAAAAAATCCTTGTCAACGACTAAATATAAGCAATTTATTCTCTACACTCTTCAATTTGTATGTCTTGCAGGATCCAAGTATCCGTAAATCCAAATTTCTAATTAAAGGAAAGAAAAAAAACGATAAAATGTATCCGTATGATTTTCTGTTATTTAATTTAAGAATATATGTACACAATATTATCGTAAAACATTTGTATTTAATACATGTTAACAATTTTGTACAATTAATATAATCTCGATACGGAGATAATAAATATTTAGATCTCAAAAAAAGAAATTTTTAGCAATCATATTAAAATAAATGTGTAAGGGATATTTTTATCTAATTCAGATGGGGGAGGGTGTCCCCCCCCCCTCCCGATGAATTTGCCCTGCACTGCAATTTAAAGGTCTCACGCTCTCTCAAGCAAAAAACTATGAAACTTTTACCAATTACTTCTTAAAAACCAAAGCTAACTAAAATTGCTTTATAGTGCTAAAATGTACATGTAAAGGGCTACAGAAAATCAGAAGTTAGTTAAAGCAATAAAATCAAAGCCCAAGGTGTTGCGACACTTCAAAGTCAACTCTGTCTTAAAAATTGATGAGTTTTTATCATCAGGCTGAATCTATGTGTCTGCGAGTTGAGTTTAATTTATAAATTTTAGCCCTGTAGCTTGATTAATAAAAAAGTTATTAACCATTTCTGATTTCTTTGAATCCCCAACCCGCCGCACCGTTTGACTGTCCTCCATCATTCCCTATGCATACTATTTTTTAAATTATTTGAAAAAAAAACACAGCCCCCCCCCCCCCCCAGCCCATCGGGATATGCTATTCTTAATTTTTACGCACAAATAAATTGTGTTGATTAGACGTTAAAAGGTTTAAATTGATTTGATTACATTAGAACCTGGTCTAGGAATCAACTGCTTCCAATAACTGATATTGGTTTGTTCAAATATTTAACGGTAAAACCAGGGGGCAGGATTAAACTTTATTTTCCGAACAATTGAGTTAAGCACTAAATTTATATTAATTTAAGCGTTTTGCATTCAATTGTCTGTAATAAGTGTATCTTGAGTATCTTCAGTACTTTTTAGGTTTGACAGGATGCTTTATTAAATTATTAACCTTTCGCTTTACTGAAAAGCAAATTTAACCATGGCTACATTAAGATTTTAATCTTTAAAAAAAAAACTTTAGTTAAATGTGGCTTCTGCTAAATAACTCTTTTTCTCTTCTTTGTTTAGAAACTTTCATTTTGCCCTTAGAGTTGAGATAGGGGAGTGTGATAAATGTTCTTAGTCCTAGTCAGAAAAATCATTAATGTTTAAATTACATATTTTTACTTCTAACAAATATTACCATGTCACAACACTTTACTCAAATATTAGGTCTTTTAGATTTATCAAATTGTACAAAAAATCTGATTATTTTATGTTTTTCCTTGACCAAATATTGGTTAATCACATTGAGAACTAAATGTAATGTTTTTACATCCAAGAAAAATAAATACAAGAGCAAAAATTGCCTTGGTTTGTAGGTCATTTAGCTCTATGCGCATAAAGAAATATACGCAAAAAGCCCATTAAAGTTTCTCCCATGGTCAGATTTAGAGATAGAGTTTTCAAAACATCTATAAATTATCTTACACTCATGATAAACAGATATGGTACTTCGCTGTGTAAATACTCCTGTTGTGTTTATTTTTTCTACAAAATTGACCCATAATTGTTAAAATTGTAGCCTTTTCAGGCTAAAAATAGGAAAAATAGTTTTTATCTTTGCCTCTCATTCAAAAGCCCATAAAGATATATGCTGATCGTAATGGTGAATTTGTTTATCATGGCTTTAAGATAATTTACAAACGTTTTAAAAGTTCTAGCAATAAAGCTTACCGTGGGAGAAGCTGAAATGTGCTTTTTAAACATATTTCTATTTGCGCATAAAGCTAAATAACCTACAACCCATGTCAATTTTTCCTTATGCATTTCTTTTTCTTGGATGTATACATTAGATTTAGGTCTCAATATGAATTAATCAATATTTAGTCAAGGAAAAATACTGACCAGCAACTTGATTATCCTCCACCCATCCCTATGCATAGAAATAAATATTTTTTTGTAAAATTTTTTTACAACAAAAAAGTGAAGAAGTTTGAGCGTTCAAGTGTAAGCCATTTTTAAACTAAAACAAAAAACCACAGTGGGATGAAAACACCCCATCAACCCCCCCCCCTCCCCTCCCATCTGTGATAGGGTTAATTGTATAGCGACTCAAAGGAATTGAGTCTTTGTATAACAAACAAAAGATATAGAGATTAGAAAATCATAGTTTGTGACAAAGACTCAATTCCTCTTAAATAAAAGTTGGAAAGAAGATTATAAAAATTTAACTCATTTTGATTTATATCCAGAGCAATCGCCAGAAGATTGCTGGCCCAGTTTCTGTGTTTGAATGTAAAAGTTTCAATATAGGATAAAGTTTCCTGGATCATAATGTCACACCTTGTGTCTCTATTAAACCTACATTACAACCCATTTCACAACTTTAATGTTATTTGTTTCCTAAACATTTCACAGGCTTAACACAGCATAACACAACTCTGCAAAGAAAGGAAAAGTACATTTAAAATAATTCAGTGAATTTGTACTTTTTGAACTTGTTCACTCTGAGATATTAACAACTCTTAAACAAACTCAAACTACCTTTTCGCTATATTTTTTTAACCTGATGGTGTAAACCTTTGATATTTCAAACTTAGATTATTTGATCTAACAGAATTCATAGTTTGAAATATCAAAGGGGTACGACATTGACTCACAAAGATATAGGGATTAGATAATTTGAGTTTGTTTCAAAAACTCAATTTCTTTTAATACTTCCTTGACTTTAACTGTGTCGCAAAGACCTGGCCTTGGAGTTTAACTCACCAACTCACTTATACTTTTTTGTAGCCCCAGATATGTTCATTGTACAATTTCAATACGCTTGTTTTTAGCTTAAGCTTGAAAGAAGTAATTGGCAAAATACTGATTTATCGAGAGCGTGCAGATCTTGGTTTGCAGTGATCAGGCAGTACTTTTGAATATTCAATTCTTTTAAATATTCAATTCTTTTGAATATTCAATTCTTTTAAATATTCAATTCTTTTAAATATTCAATTCTTTTATGGATACTTTGTGGATCAAATATTATCAAAAACAAAACTTTAGAATGGTGGATATTAAGATGAAAGCTAGATCCACTCTTTTTCTAAATCTCCAGATTAAATAATATTTGTTCTCCTCCTGTTATTTTTCTCCAGATTAATTAACCGATCGGGATTAAGGATATCCCATTTAAAAGTTCCCAGCTCAGTGTCCGAATTTAATGAATTTAAGCCGCGTCTCAAATCTCCCCAAAACCGGTTTCAATTGAGCGTCGACTTAAATCTTGAAAAACTTATTACAATTTTAAGTGGAACCAACCATATTTGAGCCGTGGTTTAAATTGAAGCCTCCGCTCAAATTCTTTAAATTCGGCCTCAGAACATGTAATTTATAATATACATGCATCATCCTTTTGATCTTCTTGATATATTATCTAATATGTTTTAAATTATGCAAAATACTATCTTATATCGTATTATAATTCTGCTGTAAACATAACTTGGGTAGAAAATATCTACTTTACATCCATTTATCTAGAAAGTAATTTAAATGTAAAAGTTGTTTTAAAAAACCTAACACTTTACACTTTTCTCTCACAGGCTGAATTATTATCTGATCATAAAGAAATTTATATCACAGAGTTTCTAGGATATTAAGACTACATGGTTAAAAATTATTGGATTTGGTCAACAAAAAGTAGTATCCATCTTTCAAATTTGTTAAACTTGACATTTAGGCAAAAAGTTTAACAAATATTTTATTCACGCAATCAAATAGCAAACATTGTGTATTTATACTTGTTAGAATAAATGTTCATCAAACTGTTCATATATTTTTAAGAACTGATAATCTTTAATACTGCAAAAAATATGTACTAGTTTGTAGTAAATGCCCTACTCCATTTTTAATATTTGCGCTAGAGGGAGCTGTACGCTAGAGGTACAGAGCTCTGGTTTAAAAGTGATTTAATAGGTGATATTGAACAATTTATGAACATATTTTTAATACAAAAGTATTGTGAACATACGGGCTTTGGCCTGGTGTTAAACAGTTAGTGACTGCCTGTGATTTTAGGCCTTTTGACCTCTGTTTTTAAAAAACAACGGCTGGGTCACGTGATATATAGCTGGTCAGCTATTGGTCTCCAACAGTTATACCGGCTCTGTTTCTATTGGTAATACATACAACCGGCAGCTGATAAGATGCAGCTTCAGGGGCGAATATACAAAGATGATTCTGGAAGTATTATCCTGGTTGATGGAATTATAGCTTCTCTATTCTATGCATATGATAGGTTTGCTCATAAATCTGTCATAAACGAAACCCTTGCTAGAACCTTTGGTTTGGAAAATCTGAAGAATTCTAGAAAACTGTTCTACGAAGTGTTTAACCTTTTTGATGGAAGTGGAAGGATGCCAGACAAAAGGACGGAAACTACCTTGCTCCAAGATCTATGGGAGAAGATAGGGAAGGTTGATCTAGCAGGATAAGGTAACATTAAAGTTTGTTCTCCTCACTACTTCACTTATCCACAGTTTGTATCTGATGCAGAGTTTCTGGCTAATACAAGTAATGATACCATGAACAAAGTGCTAATTGAGAGAATAGAAAGGT